ATAAAGAAAGGTAAATAACATCTGATTCTTAGAAACAGGTCATTCCAGTTATGGTCTTGTTTTCTCCATGTGTTTTAAGAGATGAGCCTAATTCAGCTGGCAGTGTCAAATGTTATTTTTTATAGCTTCATACCCAAATGATAAACCAAAACCCACTCTCCATTGTTCTGGTGCTAGCTTGCTATACCACAGGTTGTAATTGTAGCAGTGAGATAATCATCAGTAGAGTATAATTTTTATAGATTATATAGCTAGAAAAGGCTGTCACAAATCTTTGAAGACACAGGATTACCATTTTACCAGTGGTAGGAACCTTTAATTTCCAAACAAGGTGTTTCCTGGGAGATTTTGCTGTAAGACTGTTGTTTTTCTCCTTCAGATGAGGTGAAAAATAAAGGCTGTTTTCCAGACCTGATGAGAAGCTTTCAATATTCGAGTATCTTCAGCTGAGTTAAATCCTGAATGTATTTGAACAAGATGCTGATTATGTGCACTTAATAAACAGCCATTTCACAATTCTAAAAAAAAACAGGGTTTGCCATGGTGCCATTAGCAATTTTCAGCTCCTGTGATTACAGTAAACAGATAAAATACCATACAGGATATTTTGAAGTCGTGAAGTTGTACTTAAAGATAAAACAGGTGATCCTTTATGAATAAATACAGAGATGTTTGTTAAATACATGAAAGAGCTAACAAATCTGGCACTTCCTAGCTGGGTGGTAGAATAACACATTGGCATACTCAAAGATGTGAAGGTTTTACTTTTAGAGCATTTTAATCACTAGTAATTAATTTTCCTCATCTTGTGAAATACACTTTAAAGTGTAGTGAAAGTTTTCCTGCAGAGTAGTCACTTCCAGACAAATAATAATAAATACGAGCTAATCTGAAAAAAATTGCTGTTGGTTAATAGCAATGCTGTGAGCAATATATGAGTTCCTTAATAATCACGCTTTGTTGCTGTTATAAATGCCAAGACTACAATATTGTTGAAGCTTCTGTCATTCTGTCTTATTGTGGTTTGCTGTACTTGCTTTTTTAAAATATTTTCATTTCCAACACAAGTTTTCTTCACTGCGTAGGGTATTTCCCAACTTAGTTTAAAAGAAAAAAGAAAGCTTTTTAGGTTGTATCTTTCAACTCTTGACCCAAAATAATTCCTTTAAAAATTGCTAGCACTCTTGCAAAGCAGACTATAAATTAGTTAAACAGGCTAAACTGTATTGGTAAAATTTTTTTCCTTTCTTTTTGCATGGAAAAAGACCAAAATCTTCACCTACTGTCTCATACCCCATTTTACTTTGTCCTTTCTGTGGTCCTTTAAAGGCAAAGATTATATTTACCTTTTCTTAATTAGTCCAAAAATAGGATTCATCTACAGCATTAAAAATCTGTTTGTTTTCTTCCATTAGGAAATTTTATTATCTTTGAGAATCTTCCAATATAAACTCTTCTAACAAACTGAAAAGTGTTTAATGACCTGAAATAATACGATTTTCTGGTGTAGAATTGATGGTTTAATTTTTGTCTGTAGTTAATGGTCAATTTATTTTGATTATCCCCCATAGTTTCTTTTGCTTATGTTTTAGTTTTGTATAAAGCTGTACTCACAAAAGTTAACTTTATTAAAAAAAAACCCCCACACTTAATTTTCATTGAAGCGACTGTGCAATATAAAGCTATTTGGGATGTATGAGGGAGAGAGATTATGTTTTGCTTTATAGCAGAGAAAAGTCTGCTACTAATGACAGGTCTATACATGAAATAAATATCTGGCATAATTCTATAACGAATGTGTCCCTATCTCATGATACTTGGGAGTAGCTGTTTCACTTGAAATTTATTCCCTTCCTCAAGCCAATTTGAAGGAGTTCCAATGTAGGCAGTCGTTGACTTCTACCTTCAGAATAGTGCCTTGTATATTTACATTTATTACAATATCACAATTATGACTGATAATTTAGGTTTGCAAGGAGAATAGTGGTTAATGCTTCCACTAGCTAATCACAATATGAAGTCCCCAGGGGCTTTTTTTCATTCTGCTTCTGTGCCGCAGTGCTAGTTTCATGCACATGGGCAGCACAGCACTGTGCGCAGATTTGAATCTGCTGTGCCAGGAGCATGGAGAAAACTGGAGTATCAGCTCTCCCAGTGCTCCTAGCTGCAGAGTACTTGATACGTACCCATGAGGTTATAGAACCGTGGCTCCACACTTCTTTACAAAAGCCTGTTCAGTTTACCCAGTGCTTCATCTTTTCAGAACATCTCACTGTAAGAACAGCTGCACTGGTTCAAATAGGGTGTCTGTCTTGCTCACTATCATATCTCCAGCGGTGTAGCCTAGAGCAGATGTCTGGGGAAGAGTAAAACCAGAGTAACCGTAATGCTTTCCTGCGTCTTAATCGTTTTCAGTTCAGGGACAGTTCAGGGCCTGTTGTGGTTTGGTTGTCATTAATCCTGATCAGCCTTCCCCATGCCCTTCATGATTTTGTAGACCTCTATTGTATCCTTGAAACATCTGAAGGCTACTCGTGCTTTCATACCTTTCATCATAGTTATTCTCATTTTCTTCTAGTTCTACTGTATCTCGCTTGAGGGGATGTAGTTTCCAAGATGTGGGTGAACCTGTGATTTACGCAAGGCACAGCAATACTTTTTCTTTTATTTTCTTCAGTTCTTTCCCAAATATTTCTGAAGACATAAGAGGCAATGCTTCTTTTTTGAAGTACATAAAGCTTTTAAGAGTGTGAGTTTGAAGTGCATTATCTAGTAATCTGTGTTGCAGTCAGATAGATTTATTAATGAACATCTGTTCCATGTTAAGGCAATTGCCTTACATTCCCCCCCGCCCCCTCCCCCCCCCCAAGTTTAAAGGTATTTTTTTAATTTTAAACTAATTTTTAAACTTTATTTTATAGGTTTGCAAAGGTACAGATTAGTGTATCGGCACCTATTATACCATTCCGAGAAACAATAACAAGACGTCCAAAAGTTGATATGGTGAATGAAGAAATAGGAAAACAGCAGAAAGTTGCTGTCATACACCAAACAAAAGAGGACCAAAATAAAATTCCTGAAGGGATTCAGGTTGATTCAGATGGGCTTGTTACAATATCTACTCCAAATAAACAAGCTACTCTCAGCGTAAGAGCAATGCCGCTTCCTGAGGAGGTAACTCGACTTCTTGAAGAAAACAGTGACTTGATTAGAACTATGGAGCAACTCAACACATCTCTGAATGAAGATAAAACCCATGAGATAAATCAGAAGACGCTTGATAGGATCAAGGAATTCAGACAAAAGTTGGAGCAAAATCTGCAGGGAAGAAAGTGGAGAAATGCTGTTGATCAGATCTGGTCATTTGGACCACGGAAGTGTGGGCCTAATATTTTGTTATATAATTTTGAGGGCTATAAAAGGTCTGTGTGGCAGTGCCTTGGGAACACTGTGAAAGAAGTAAGTAAATATAGAGACTTTGACAACAGCATAGTAAGTGGATTTCAGCTGGCTACGCTTTCTGGTCCCATGTGTGAAGAACCCCTCATGGGTGTCTGTTTTACAGTGGAAAAATGGGAAATGAATAAAGTTGGAGAGGTGCTGTCAACTAGTAGACAGGATTCAGGGGAATGTGATGGTGTAGAACATAAACAAAATGAAGATACTACTCTAACAAGCAGTTGCAGTGATGAAGTTTGCAGTGCAAATGAATGCCAGGACAACAGCCAAAGTGTTCCAAAATCACCGGAAAAAATTAGTAAACAGAAGGGGGAAGTTTTACTTGCAGATTGTTATGGTCCCTTCTCTGGACAACTGATTGCCACCATGAAGGAAGCTTGTCGTTATGCTTTGCAAGCAAAACCACAGAGGCTTATGGCGGCCATGTACACATGTGAAATTATGGCTACTGCAGAAGTTTTAGGTAAGACAGACAAAATAAACCTTTGTCAAGAATTTGCTTTCCAAGTTCCAAGGTGAGGTTTTATAAATTAGACTGAAAGTATAACTTGATTAAAAGTTTTGTCAGAAGTTTTTTGTAGTTCTCCAGTGGATTTGTACAATGACTGTTATGCCTGTAGTGTTTATACTATTCTGAATGAAAATGTACCATGCTTCTTGCTTACCTGAAACACATGCATAAATAGCAATGCTACACTTTTTTGGAAGTGCAAGATACAAAATGTTGCCTTTTTATGAAATTTTTGTAATACCAACTTCAGTAGATATGAATACCAATATTGTGCCTCATAATTAAGCATTAGTTCCCTGAAGAGATGAGGAAATCTATCCTGCTCGTAAAATGAATGCAGAATCTTAGTTAATGCTATTTCAAGATGGCTTAAGTCAATCAATAATCAATATAGAAGTAAAGTCAGGAAATAGAGAGAATCTTAAATTATTGTTAGAGTCCAGTTGGTAGTTTCTGGGGTTTTTTTTTAGTAGCATCTGTATCCTTCTGGTACGCAAGTTGCTCACTTTGCAAACCCAGTGCATACCAAATTTGTGTCACTTACGTTACCTTACCACTTATGCCTACTTAAACTTGGTTGTATGACCTACTTACAATACCTCTTAACTTATCCTAACATTTGTTCTTGGAGTTTTCCATGGGAGTTGCTTGCACGCTGAATCTGATCCAATGCACCAATATTTTCTTTAGAACTAACTTCCATTGCATTTAAGCTATCAGGAAATTTACTTTGACTATACTACTTGTGACAGAAATTACAGTATATCCCACATACAATAATTAAAGATTTGGTTATTTGTTGTAAAAATCTCAGCTGTTGTGCATGCGAGCATAATGATAGCAGTTATACAAAACAAATTGGTCTGAAGAGCAAAATTTACAATTGTATGTAGTGAAAAGAAATGCCTTTGAGCAATATGATCCTATTCTTTCTCTGGAGGTGCTCTTTAGTAGGCCTGGTAAAAGGTGTCCTGCGGTAAGCTTGTTAGCACGTTACCTTAAACTACAACTTACTATGGCATAGAACTTCTGCATTTTTAAACGATCTTTAATTATTTTTTAACATGTAAGAATGCCTATCAGACTTTGTAGTGTTAGGCATTACTGTTCCAGGAGCACATTAGCACAATACTTCTGAATCTCTACATCAAACTATAAGCAAGATACCAATTTTCAAACCGCAAAACCACTGTATAAATTGTTGTTTTCGAAAAATGCCCACTACCAAAAAAGCATGATTTTTTATAGTGATGTAATTAACATGCATTGGCTCATCAGTTGTGCCATAAAACCAAATGGAAACATGGCTTTCTAATGCATATATATACATATATATTTAATGAGTGTAATTTAGGACTTAGACATGCAAGCAGATTAGTCCAGTCTAATGGATGTGAGTTTTGTGGTAATAACCATGGACATGCAATTAGTTAATTACAAATTCATGGGTTTAATTTTTATTATGGAAGTTTAAGCTAATAAAATTTATCCTCATTAGGGGAAGCGAAGAGTATGCGTGCTATCCAGTAAGACTTGGCAGTTGACATGTGATAGACAACTGGCTTCTGTAACTTTAATTCTTTCAGTTGGTCTTCCATATATTGATACTCAGTTGAGTTTAATATATCTTTGTATTGTCTGATTGTTTCTAAGCTGTTACCTTCTGAGGAAGCTAGTTCTTTTATGTTAGTTGTCTCAGTATATGAAGCTTTTTCCATCAGACTTTTCTGACAATGAAAATAAACTGAACTGGAGCTGAGGAGCAGAGCAAGGAGAGAAGAACGCAAAAATGTGTTGCAAGCTTATACATGTCCAGTGTAATGGGCCTTGGGTTTAGACTTGGGTCCCGCATACACCCGATGTTTCCCAGTAGGTTATACTTTGAGCATCTCATTCCTACAGTTAGTTCACTAGAAAAATCCATTTTTACACACTCCTGCTTTATGGAAGTTCTATGTAAACGGCCAAAAGCTGAAGAATGTTCTGAACTAGTATCACATGTTTAATTATTATTAGCTTTTGCCTGCTGATATTCCTACCTTTTGAGCTCTTCTTCCCTTATCTCTTTTGTGTTCTGGAGACTGAAAGCTAGACTGTCTTTTCATTTTGCTGATGTCAGTGAAACTTAGTTGGGAAAGGACTTTCCCAGACTCGGTTGTAGCTTTTGGTTTTGGATTTTGATAGCAATTCTTCTGTCTTGATTTTTATTTTTTAAAAAATAATTTAAAAAATTTTAGATCACAGCATTTTAGGGAGCAATTCATATCAATTCATAGTATTATCTCTGGCTCAGGTGTGTAAGTGAAAACATGCAGAATCCAAAACAGAAGAGCAGCTCCTCCTTCCCTGTTTGCTAAGTTTATGGTGACCCCTAGGCTCTTGCAACTGGTGATCCTGTTGTCCTTCCACAGTATGTCTTTCCAGTATGAAGCTTAGGGGTTTTTTTTACTGTGCAGGGAATACCGAAATTGTTCAGCATTTTTGCTTGATGTACTGGTGCTGGACAGGACTTACATGTTTTAAGGAGCTGGACTTAATACACCTTTAAAGTGAGCCTATTACACACATACTTAGTCTGCATGTTGCAGCACCTTGAAGCTGTTTCGAAGTAGTGTAACTGTTTTAACTGTTTTGAATAGGAAGATCTTAGAGTATTTCTTGGTGATTGATACTGTTAAATCCATTCAACTAATTAGTGTAGAGGTGGAACCAGTATTTCTTCAGAATACTGCAGTCTGCCCATAGTGGTAAAACTGAAGACCTTATATAACTTCTTTGTGATAGCGTTAACTGAGACAATACTCCAGACTGCTTGGATGAAATACATGTAGCTAGAAACCGTTTAGTAAGCTATAAATTGTCTTCTGGCTTTTATGTTTTCAAAGAATAATCTTCAGTGAATTATGGCCATAAAATATGTGCATCTAAAGTGCTTTGTGATAAATGTAACCTTACTTATTAATATGTGTGCAAAGTTTTCTAAGTCCTACTTAAAACAATTAGTAAAAAAAATATTTTGAATTATAACATTAATAAACTGTAAAGTGGTTTTGAACGTACTTGCTTTAACAAATGGCTTTAATATATACTGTGTGGTATGTGCACAGTATATGCACAGTGACCATGATGTGATGCTCTTTTGCAATGTATATGTTTAAGCTTGCATTTTAATGCAGTTACTGAATTGTGAGCTGTGCTGAGATATGACCCTTTCATATCTGAGAATTTTCTAGACTTACTGAAATTTCCATAGACTTGAAATTGCATAGTTACGTTAACAAAGGCTATACATGCATGGCAAACTCGGTGACTTATCTTCAGAATGCCTTAATCTTTTTGTGATTTTAAATGTAGAATCGTAATGTATTTCCTCATGAGCAATAAGAAGACTATTGTGCATAGTAAAGGTGAAGTTCAGTCAGAGGAACAGTGAGGAGGTCCTGGTAACGGCATGAGTGGATAAAATTATCAGTGGTGGTAGAAAGAACACTTCAACCCACATTTTATTAGAGAGCTATAAACTCTGAAATGATTGGTGCTAAACTGATGCTTCATTACCTGCATCTGGCAGGAAGATTTAACTATACTAGCTGTGTGCTTGTGCTGAATTTCCTGAACAAGGACCAGATTTTGTATTTAAAAAATAAAGGCAAATCAACCCACACTGACATTTCCTCTGGTGTCCTGCAAGAGTCTTACAGTATATATGCAAATCAATGTGCGTGGCTATAGTCTTTAATGATACCTTTCTGTCAAGTCAGAATAGGTGGGATGTATTATGAAGTAATATATATTTCAAACTATTTGCAGTAAGAGTCAGTTTTGCCCAGATATTTAAAAGGTAGCAGTACGCATTCATGTTTTTTCAGTGCAATATAATATAAAATATTTGAACCTCTTAGAAATTGATATAAACTTGCTCTTCACTACAAGGTACTTTTAAAGGTAATTTGTACAGCTAATCCTTACTAACTGTTCACATTTGTACATGAAGGCATTCCTAAACATTTTCTCGTGTTTTTATTACCTTGATCAACACAAATGTATTTGCTAGTTTTTATCTGTAGAATACTTAGCCCATAAGTTTGCAAAAACATTTTAAAAAAATTAGCTTAATGCCTACTGTAAAATCGAACATGGGCATTTTCACAGCTACTTTCATGATATATACACTGTATTTCAATGGATTGAATATTAATTTGGGAAAGAAAAATAAAAATTATTAATGACTAACTTAAGCCTGAATTAAAAACCTAATGGAACACATTAAACATAATAAATATGTAGTATTTCAGATAAACAAGTTTTCCGTGATTAGAATAGCACTGCAGTATCTGGGACAAGTACCATATAGGGATATGGTAATCCAAACAAACTTCTAAAGGTAGCTAAGATATGATTCCTGAAACACAGTAGTATTTCTTAGTAACGTTTCTCAAATACTTGGTTGTAAGAAATAAAGCAAGTTAGGCACTTAACCTGGTAAACTGCCTTTTAAAAAAATAGCCATATGATGTAATAAACGTACCTAGTGCAAGCGTTACCTAGATCCACACAGTAATAATTTATTAAATGTTACTCATATGGTTCTGCACATTGTACTGGCAGAATATGTTGTTTGTTTGAATTTAATGGGTCCACTAAATTGATCCACTTACAGGGAAGAATTTTAGCCAAAGAAATTACGTATTTTACTTAATGCTGAAGTTTCCTAAATAAGTATTTGTGTATTTCTCTTCATGATGCAGAATATAAATATATTGGTAAGCTCATCAAAATTGTGTCTTTGCAGGTCGTGTGTATGCTGTCTTGTCCAAAAGAGAAGGCAGAGTGTTACAAGAGGAGATGAAAGAGGGGACGGATGTGTTTATTATTAAGGCAGTCCTGCCAGTAGCAGAAAGCTTTGGTTTTGCTGATGAAATCAGGAAGAGAACTAGTGGCCTGGCCAGTCCACAGCTGGTGTTCAGCCACTGGGAGGTAAAAATATCTATTCACTCCATCTGTTTTGGTGATCTATTTCCTGTAGATGTGGCAGACTGGAATAATAAGCGGAAAAGGTTAAGTTTTGGTCAAGATATTTGATTAATTCCTTTTTGAAATGAAGCGGGAAAAAAAAGCAGCTTTATATTAGTCTTTTATAGATATGCTGTTCAGAAATGCATTTATATTTTGTTTAGATGGGATGCTTTTTTATTTCAATAGAAAGTGAGTCCTTCACAAATGAAACTGATTCTTCATAAATGTGTTTTCCTGAATTTTATGTGCCTTTTTGAATGAGTTCTCTGATAAACTTGTTTGGAGAGTGGACCTCCCCCAC